GGGTTTCTCAGCAGTATGATAAATCATAGTTATCCAAACTGTCAATATCAATAGCAATTGTGACAATTACAATCACCTCCATCATGTCCCTGGAGTTTATTCTGGGACTTCAGTTTGCAGAGGCCACAGATGGGTTGCACTGCTGCTACTCTGTGCTTACCCCGACAACAATGAATAATGATATAGTAAATACAATAACATGATTAAAGTCTGCTCCTCATTTAGTCTGAAGAACTTGACTCCCAATTTGCAGATGAGACTCACAGTGGAGACCCTGGACCAGCTGCCAGACGAAATTGCTAAACTGTGAGCCAGAGACTGCCCATTTCTTCCACAGAGAGTTCAATTCCACCAGCACTTCACCATTGCTCTGCTTAATTTCAATAGTCCTTAAACTTGTGTTTGAATTACACTTCTTTTTTTTTTAAGTTAACATCTTATTTTTTTGTATTAACACTTAAAGGTATACACATTTACAAAGCACATGGTCTCTGTAGACCAACCAGAACCCCATCACACAAACTCAGAAATGCTTTGTTGGAATATGTAAACCACTGCACTACTAAGCCACTACTTTTAGTAGTTTCACTGATCACAAGGATTCGCTGCAAAGGGAAACATCGCTTATTTGATTTGTCAGATTTTGTATGCCAGATGCACTTCCTGTTGCAACTCCAAATGGATTTGTGCAACTTATCACCTTACCATGTAATAACCATAATGAGATGGTGATTCTTTCACCAGATCCCAGTGACAGAAATACCAAGGGACCTGAGGCAACGCTAACTCAGAACCCTACAGGCCCTTATCTTTTAAGCACCTGTTAGCTAACTGTGCTTGGCTTATTGCTGAACACTCAGCACATCAGGAAACACTGCTTCATTTGCTCCACACTGTTTCACTGCTTCATTTGGGACATGCACAACACTAACAGGTGTAAGAACAACAGCCCATACTTGGCTTCCAGAGAGAACCTTCAGCCCTACACTCAATGCAGATATATATGCACACAAAAATGTCTCACCCAATGGCGGCAACACTGATGCCAAAACAAAGTAAATAAAAGGAGTCAAAGACACCTGTGTTATGATGATATCTTGATGCCTACTTTCTCGCCACGCTTGTGAGAAATGCTTGGAAGACTTTTATTTACCATTTATCACCCATAGGTGATAAATGGTAAATAAAAGTCCAGCTCACATTTTGAGACCTGAGATTTCATCTCACAATCCAAGATGTTCAACGTTTCAGCGGCTCGCCCCCGTACACACTTCCTCCTTCCTACTTCCCACAACTGTGAAGGCTAAAACTGTCAGTCTTCCAATGGCCTCGCCTTTGACAACATTTACAAAACTTACCAGAATCACGCACAATCACTGCCACCAATTCCCATGAGTGCAGAAAGCGAGAGAAAAATGCAAATCATCAATACGGGATCCACCAATCCAACAACATTATACTTACTCAAACTTTCTTAAGAACACAGAATAATGCTACCAACTGAATAAATCAAATCAAATCAAATCACTTTTACTGTCACATCACATGTGCAGGTACACTGGTACAGTACATGTGAGTGAAATTCTTGTGTGCGAGCTTCACAAGCAACAGAGGTGTGCAAAGTACAATAACATAAGAACAAGCAAATATAATTATGGCTAAATCTGAGAATTATATGAATAAATATATGTACAATATAAGAGTGTATGCATATTACTGAATGTGTATACTAAATATGTATGTCTATGTGTGTGTATATATATATGTGTGTGTGTGTGTATACGTGTGTGTGTGTGTGTGTGTATACATATTTTACAAATTAAATAGAGTAAAAATAAAATAAATATATAAAATATACAGAGGTTGGTAGGAATGAATAAGGATGAGCAATGACTGATTAAACTATTTATCCACATCAGTGACATAAAGCAATCCATGGATGCATTGACAAATGCATGACATGTGTTGTATGTGCAAAACCAAACCACAAAAAAATAACTCAAACAAAAAGATAACAAGAAATGGAGATAGACACAGTTTCATAATCAGGTCTTTGTTTTGATCATTGAATAAATAATTATCATTGATCTGCTCAACAAATGGGTTCATGGGCTCTAATATTCATGTGAATAATCATCAAGGAAGTATTCTTAAACTCAGTGACAATTAAAATAAAAATTAGGTGCCTTTCTTACCCATTCTGGGCATCCGATGTTCTCACGTACTGCATCTGCAGTGCAGTCGAATACTTGATCTTAATTGGCATCCACTTGTATAATACTGAGAGGGTTGTAGAAACTGTCAAGGCTGCTTGCTGACATGGAAAGTTGACAAGTGCAGTTCCCAGTCGGAAGTTTGCACTTCAGCCAACAGTGTCTACAATGTTCAAAAAGTGACCCGATAGCTCAGCGCCAGTAGGGAATCTGCATCTCTTTTCTCTCTTGCCGGTTCGCTCTCTTTTCTCTTCTCTGTGATCTGAGGAACAGCTAAGGGCTTTTAGGGTACACAACCAGGGTTTTCACAAGGTTAAACCTACTGGGTGCACGTCTCTTTGATTGCTCGCACACATCACAGACACTGCAGTGCACACGCCAAACAAGAGCAGTTGAGATGAAATGGATATTCAACCTTGGCATATGGTAAATCACAGAGTCATTAGAAACAGCCGAGATGGCCCTGTGGAATATGTGCATGTGCGCTTTTCTCAAAGAGACACTCAGAGGCAGAAATCAAAGTGCTAACAATCAGTAGGGGGGCTGAAAATCTAAGAAGCACCATCTTATAAACATTTCTACTGAGAGAGCGGGAAAGAGAAAACCCGTCTGGGCTTTGACTATTAGAGACAAACACAGTGTGTTGGCACAGGCGTTCACTCCATTTTACTTTTTTATCTAAATAGCACAAATACAAATTATTTTAAAGTGTCTGACACTCAGAGTTCACAGCAAGCACACATTCAAATGCAGAAAAGTAAGAAGCGAGGCGATAATCACATTATAAATTTTCCAGTTCCAGTTTTACTGTTGCAACAAGAGACAGCGTTCCAAAAGACTTAGAGACACAATCTGTGCTGCTGTTTACAGCCGCGTTCTTTTTCACAGTTGTGTAAATGGCTTACACAATATTGCTCTGACCTGTACACAAAAATACCACAAACAGAAAACCTCTACATATGCACACAGGGTAAAGACACACACACACTCCTCCATACCTTTGCAGCCCATGAGGCGTGCTGAAGAAATGATTTTCTGTCAGGCAACTATCCACACAGCACACATTCACTCTTCCATCTCACTGGTCAGATTTTATATCTGATTGAGTTCATGCCAAATACAAATAAACTGCAGCTCTTTCCTATATTAAACTTCCATCCCACTGTTTTTGAACTTTTTTCACTCCTTGTTCTCGTGGCTCTTGTGCTTGAAAGAAAACAAACAAACTTGTAACTCGGTTTGTTTTTGCCCTTGAATTGAAAGTACTCAGGTAATTCACAGAGCTGTGTAGGCTGACTAGGTTGACATCTGACACCTTTTCACATAAAAAGTCGACTTTTTTTCTCTTCTGTCTGCATCAGTTTGAGTTTGCTGCCACTGTTGTGATGCCTTTCATGTGGTTCCTCTGTTGTCAGAATAGGTTAACCACATCAGCTGCTCCATATTTATTGTGACAAAGTCATTTTTGAACATTTTCTCTGTCATTTTATTTCAGTAAACTTTCAATGCAATTACTAAATCGACTTTAAAACACCCAACCTGTGTAAATAGTGTTAAATAAACAACGACTATTTGCTTTGCTGTGCACAACGTTCAGGCTAGGACTGGGCGATATATCGAGTTTTTAAATATATCGATATATTTTTATACGAGATATGAGATGTGACAATATCGCTTATATCAATATAGTCTACATTACGTTATAATTATACTTGTGGAGCCAATAATTTGCCTCTCTTTCGTCCACTTTTGTCTCTACGCAAACGTTACTCTGCCTCGCCTCGCTCCTTCACTGAACACAACTCCCCCTC